TTATAAGCTAATGATGCCACCGGGGCCCAAAGTGGGGAAGGCCGCCCTCAGCTTCCTTTACTCAAGTTGCTTTTACAAATGAGGTGTCCTGGAGCCCCCGATTGCCTTAATAGATTAAAATGACACATTTTTAAGATTTGTCTGATTTTTCATTCTGTTGAGTTGGCCAACAAATGTTATAATACTCCAAACGTTCCGTGTTCTGAAATGGAGCAAAACGTTGCTATTAACCTTGACGTCATAATTCATGAGTACTGGGGTGCAGGGCAGCCGTCAGAAATGTTGGGGCCCCTTACACGGCTTTAGGCCGGGCCCCTCCCCCCTGCCGCTGGACACGGGCTTAGTGAGCTCTGGACGCAGGGCTTAGCGACGCACTGGACACAGGACCCACCTGAGAGTGACCCTGCAGAGCCCACCATAGATGCTGCACAGCCCATCTGAGACTGTCTATGGTGGGCTCTGAAGGGGTCTCAGGTGGGCTGGTCAGGGCTGCATCCCTCCCCTCCCTCCTTTCCTTCCTAGCTCCTCTTACCTGCACACGTGGCCTCTTCTGCCGCCGGACAGGCCAGAAGTGACGTCATGTCACTAACGTGACGTCACTTCCGGCCAGTCCGACATCAGGCGAGCAGCATCGCTGATGGGGCCCCGGCTTGTCTCGAAGCCGCTGGAGCGGCAATGCTGGGGCACTGCTAGGGCCAGGCCTCTGCCTCCTCGTGCTTCACTGTCAGCCGATAGTCATGTAAGGGACCCGGGCGGGCCCCCCAGGCTGCCCGGGCCCCTTACATGAGTATCGGCCGTACCCCCCTGATGACTGCCCTGCTGGAGTGAAGTCTATTGTATGTGAAAGCACAACTCCTATATTTTATTCTTCACAGTGTCCAGTGCCAGAACCGGGAACATTCAAACCATGGTCTGTGAGAGTATAATGGATCAGCTTACTGTGGAATAGACTACAGCAAGAAAACCTGAAGATTTAGTGGTTGGAAATCAGAACTAAACATTTTCTGCAGAATTTATGAACATTTTCTGTTATTCGGATGACAGCACTACGAGAAACAATCACACAAGATCAAGAGATAATGTAATATTAAAACGTTAGCATATGTTTTATGTAATAAATAATGGAAATTTGATGCTCAATGAACGGACCTTTTATCTGTCCTACAGCCCACCGCCAACAAGCAGAGAGGTAACATTGAGTGATAGCGGTCTGGTAGTCCATGAATGCATGAGCTGCAGGCTGGTGATGTGCGTGCTGCAAATCGCTCATGTACTGTATAGGATGTAGGGATTTTATATGAAAAAGAATACCACACTATCATTAAACAATAAGAACAAAGGTTTACCCGTTCATAGATTGGGGTGGAAAGTTCTAAAAAGTTCAATGCTTTGCAAATAATGTCTATTAATATTACAATACTGTAAAAATAGCATTATGAAATTTTAAATATATAACAAAAGTGAGCAGGGTGGAGAAGTGTGGGGTATATGATATAAAGCACAGTCTGCAGAATGGAATAGAATGGATCAGGGCCCGGCTGAGGCAGAAGAGTCATCCATCTTGGGTACTGTGCTGCAGGGCACAGTTGGGGTGGGAGCCTCTTCTACCTATACGTCGCCCGGCTGTTTCCCTCACTGTGCAGAACTAAATTGTTAAACTGCATAAAGGTTGATCTCTGCCCATGGTGATAGAGAGACCTTTACTTTAGGTAAATGTCTTATGGGGAACAAACAATGTATAGTTCCCATCCCAAGAAAATTAGAATTCTAGCTTTGGAAGTAGATATTCGGCATGGATGAATACACATACGATCGCTCTAAATATACTTGACTTATTAGAAAGTAGAATATCAAATGTAAATGCTTGTAATTTCATACATGTACTGAAGACCAATAGAGAGGAACCTTCTTGGTAGAGATGACAGTGTCTGCTTTATTACAACATGTTCTGGAAACATAAGACAGTAATTCAGGCACAGTGTGCACATATAAGCCACCAAAACTATTTTAGTTCAGGACAAATGTCCTCCTGTTTGCATATGTAGCATTTACCTGACACCCAGATGTCTGAGGTGGACCCCCAAAGGCAGGGAGGGCCGACATTTCACTCTCAGGGGCAGATTCTTAGCCAGTGAAGGAACATGTAATCATCAAAGTTGGACGCCAGTCACTTTAAGCGCCTTTTTACCAATCCCTTTAAATTTCCCCAGTGAAGAATCATTAGGAGAACAGGCTGACACCGGGCAATAGAGCAACAGCTGAACAGTGATAGGCATGAGATCCTCCATGGGAGAGTCACAAGACTTGATCCTGGGGTCCATATCAGCTCCTGGTACCTCCAGTATTCATAAGGCTTCTCTGGTTCACTCCCTGCCTTGGTGACCACATAGGCAGTGAAGGAAAATCTCTTCAATAGGGTCACAGATAGCATTAAAAGAATGATTAAATTGGCATTGGGGGGACACTTTTTCACTTAGATGTTCATATGAGATGACCCCATTTCCACTAATTCCAGCATTTACTTCTCTTCAATGACTCTCCAGCCCTGATGAAGGGTGAACCTTCAAACCCCCTGAAATGTTTTGGCTGTAACTGAATAAAACTGATTTCCTGGACTTCCAAAACCATGCTTGGCCCTTTCCTGGCCACACACCAGTCAACACGAGACAGGTGCCCTTTGCAGCCATAAATTCTTGGGAAGCTGCCTGAGAAAGAAACTGATCTTCAAGTCACCAGACCCAAATTACTGTGTAACAGCGGTCCAGCACCCCACACCAGTTTTTATGGAATTACTCTATATCCTCTAATTCCAGCATGAACTTCTCTCCAATGACTCTCCATTCCTGGTGAAGGGGGAACTTTCAAACCCCCTATAATGTGTTGGCTGTAACTGAATGTGACTTTTAATAAAACAGATTTCCAGGACTTCCAAAACCATGCTTGGCCCTTTTCTGTCCACACACAAGTCAACATGAGACAGGTTCCCTTTGCAGCCATATCTCTCTAGGGAGCTGCCTGAGAAGTCACCAGACCTAAGTTATTGTGTAACAGCGGCCCTGCCCCCACACCTCCTCCCAAATGGCAATAAAAGCCTGACAGTAAACTTTCCCCCACTCCGTAGTTGGGATTTAAATTACAAAATGGCTAATTGAACAATTGTACGAGTCTTTTTTTTTCTACAAAGGTGGAAGTTCCAGCACAGAAAGAAATAAACATGTTTTTAAGATTTGTCCTGGAAGTGATGATTTGTAGAGACCTTTCTTTAAAAAAAAAGACAAATCACATAACAAAAGGAAGCGAAGGAACAAGCCGTGCGGCTATGGAAGTGTGAAGAATCCGTTTTTGGTGCCAGCAAAACAAATTAACTTGCAACATCATTTCTGAGCAGTTTTTTTTTTTCATAATTTGTTCCACCTAAAAAAAAAATCTTTCATAATGTAACAGTCCTAACCCCATATCATGGAACTGTTTATAATAATAAATAACATTACCAATACAGTAGTACCTCGGTTCACGAACTTAATTGGTTCCACGATTCTGGTCAAGAACCGAATTGGTTGTGTACCGAATCACATTTTCCGATAGGGTTAATCCGTTCTGAACCATATGGAAAAAAAAAATGTAACCACAAGTTTATTTTTACCACCATTCTTGCTCTGCACATTCTTGTCACCTTCAATAACGCTCTGCACATTCTTGTCACCTTCATTAACGCTCTGCACATTCTTGTCACCTTCATTAATGATCTGCGCTTTCTTTTTCCCACTATGCTTGCTCTGCACTTTCTTTGGAGCCATGCTGGATTGAATACATTAATACTGTACTGTACTGTGCTACAAAGCTCACAAAAAAGCTTCACAGTAAGTGTCCACAGCCCTGCCTGCGACCGCAATCTCGACTAGAGGAAGCCACGACCATGTGTCAGAGCGGGGAAGATGGTCACGGTCATGTTCGTCACCCGAGGCAGAGTACGCGAACGGAGGCAAAATTTTGACGAACTTCCTGGTCGCGAAATGAATTGTTCGTGAACAGAAGCGTTCGTGAACCGAGGTACCACTGTAATTATAATAATTTATCTGATCGTGACAAAGGACCATTCCACAGCAAACTGTTGTGTAGATTGAAGGCCACCAAGTCGCACCAGTAGGCTAAGGAAAGTCGGTTTATCAGTTGCTGGCTCAGTCCATGGAACAAGTTCTCCGCCAGCCATCTTGAGGTCAGTCTAGACTTGCTCCCGGAAGACCATGACCAATGTAGCTTCCCCGGCAAACCCAATCTCTGGACAATGTGATAAAGTTCAACCTCTGAAAAATCATACTTCACTATGTAGTCGTATCTGACAAAGCAAGGGTGACACAAGCTAACCGTGGAATCGGAAGAAAGGCCGCCCTCTGCAACCTGCTCAATGAGCGTGTCATCAATAAACTCATCGAACGTTATCTCTCCGGCATGGCCGTCCATGTACCTAGATACGAGCCTTTCATACGGGTCCTTGACAAAGAGGACCTTGGTGAAAGTTTGAAGGACATGCTTCAATGCGGAGGGGTTGTGATCGCCTAGTTTGTTGGGGAACGTCTGTGGTTTATCATCATCGATGAGTGGGCCCTGTATGGTCTCGTTGACCCTTTCCTCCATATGTCGTATCATCTCTTCCCAATCATCAATGGCCAGATCGGGGGGCTTACAGTAAACCATCAGCAGTTTGGGGCTCACAGCCAAGGTGGACAGTAGCTCATCCGCCTTTTCTGATGCATTCAGCTTGTTCAGTTCTGGAAACTGGTGACAAAAGTTTCTCAATGTCCTTTTTCTGAGCTGCTGAACGTGAAGGAACGTGTCGGGGGTAATGGACGGAGCCTTCGTTTCCTTCTCAATATCTCCTGAAGATGGAAGAAAATTAATGTAAAAAAAGTCACATTCTGAACACAATAGTTTTTGCAAATGGAAGGAACAGTGTTTAGAGCTGAAGTCCGGCCTTCCAGAGTTCACATACAAGACTTAAGGGAAGGCCGGAGTTCACATGTAAGACTGAAGGGAAGGCTGGAGGTCAGATATAAGACTTCTTATATCTGACCTCTGGCCTCCCCTTCAGTCTTACATGTGACCTCCGGCCTTCCCTTCACTCATATATCTGACCTCCTGCCTCCCCCTCAGTCTTGCACGGTTGTACCGGCTCCTCTCCTGGACTGACATGGCTTACATTGATGTCACAGCACACTGCGAGCTTCTCACAATATGCATTGGAAGCTGCAGGAAGTCAGATATAGCCCAACTCATTTCCTGGCTGGACGTCCAGTATCATCTAGCCTTGAGGGAGGCAACCTCAGCACTCCAGCTGAGTGCAATGAGTCACAGCCACAGACATGACTCCCGGAGGCAGAGGCATGATAAGATTTGCAGTTTTAACATAGCTGGAGTGCCGAGATTGCCTTCCCCCTGAAATACCCCTTTTCTTCCCAGCCTTACTGTCCATGGCTTTCATTCATTGGATTTCAGTTTATTGAACCATGGAAGCTTGGCATCACATGTGGGCGTAACCCAGGGCAGTAAGCCTAGAAATGGCCATTTCTCCAGACTGACATCAACCCATCAAGGCAAAACCCATCAGCAAAATCGTATCCCTTCGTTTTGGATAGAGTGTGAGGAGTTGCCACGTTTTTATTGTTGTCTATGTCCCCATTGGGGAGATTGGCCCCTCTATTTGTCCTGGTGACTACTGTTGTGAGACAGAAAGTGATGGACAATTCAAAATCTTAGAGTTGTCATGAGAGGAAGAGGTGAGGAGAAATCTTCCAATGATGATACATTTTCCGGTGACAACTACTGTATGTACGATGGGAATTCTTCTTACTTTCTGACCTTTTTGTGTCTCCAAGACAGGAAGTGTGTTGAAATCTCCCTAGTGGGACACAGATGGCAAAAAATACTGATAATTAAATCCTATCCTCCTCTATCCAAATAAAAAAAAAAGTTATGGCTATACACACATTTTGGTGTGTTTGGTCCGTGCTCCACTGGATGGCGAGGAGGCACCATAAGTTGGGACCACCAATAGGAATGAATGCGGATGGGGTTGACGGGGTTGTACATTGCAGAACGTAGGATCGGAGATGATGGTAAGTATTTAGGAACTATTGAAATAACTGAAATCCAATGAATGAAGGGACGAGCCAGGGGCAGTCAGGCTGGGGAAGAAAAGTGTGAGAAGATGCTGGATGTCCTCCAGCCAGTAAATGAGATGTGACTTCCTGTAGCTTCTAATGCACATTGTGAGAAGCTCCCAGTGTTGTCACCAGAAGTTCAGATTCGGCTTGACAGCGGTAATTTGCTACGTTAAACACGCCCCAGTTGTCTGTATACTCCAGAGATAGATATCAGAACTTTATAATACACACGAGAGTTTGGACGGAATATTAATTTCCCCTCACACCCCAATAATGGCGCCCTTGTCTTGCTGCGGGTGTGTCTCGCTGTGTTTCCACTATGACACGTCCCGGAATGTCTCTGATAAGTCGGTGAAACTGGAAGAATTGCTCTTCTATGCTGTGTGGATCATCACACGTGCAAGTTGGGTTAGTCACCTGACAGAGAGAACCCGCACACGACGTACAGCACACACAGCGATGTTATAATGTCACAATATGAATCATGACCTGAGCTGTGCACTCCTAGTACAGTGTGCACAACCTCCTACTGTACATTGTGTCTGAGGTCACACGGGACATCGCAACTTATCATATCACAAACAAAATCCTCACTGTGCCAATCATAGGAAATACACTACCGGGGCACTCCGCCCACAACTGCGACTGCAGGATTGGGGAAATGGTTTCTTATACTTCTTGGGAACGCTATTAGTGGCAGCTCTGTGATTGAGTTCCCAAGTCTAGTCATCTGAGCGGACATTACAATGGGGGTCCTCGATCTCCTCATTGAGTTTTTAGTTTATTTTATTTAATCAAGACACAATGCTTGACATAGTAGGTGACAGTGGCCCCTGTAGCAACAAAGTTGCTAATGAAGGGTCCTTTTATGCAGTAGCCACATAAGTATAAACAATGCTGAAGGCTTGTTATTTCAGGAGTTATATAGGTATATGCCAGGGGTAGGCTAACATCAGCCCTCCAGCTGTGGTAGAACTACAAGCCCCATGAGGCATTACAGGACTCTGACAGCCACAGGCATGACTTCCAGAGGCAGATCCACAATGGAATTTGTAGTTTCACCAAAGCTGGAGTGCTGGAGTTTGCCCACCCCTGCTATATACAAAGCTACACTGCTCCTGTAACTCAGACCAGGACCCAGCTGTACCCAGGTGGATCTTCAGGTATACTGCCCTGGGGGGTTTAACACATTTTATGGCCAAAAGTTTGTGGCCACTTGTCCATAAAACCTATATGGGCTTGTTGGACCTTTCAAACCCATGGCCATTGCTTTGGAGTTGGCCCACCTTTGCGATCCCAACAGCCTCCACTCTTCTGGGAAGGCTTTCCACTAGATATTGGAGTGTGTCTAGGGGAATTTGGTCCTATTTTGCCAAAAGAACATTTCTAATGTCAGGCAGTGGCGTCACAAGGGGGATGCGGGGGGTGTTGCCCGCACCCGGGTGACACCATTGGAGGGGTTTACACCAAAATGACTGACAGTCATTTTGGTGTCACCCCCCCTCTGAAAAGTCTCAGGAGAGAGAGGAGGGGACCCGACGGCAAACCTTATCCCGTCGCGTGACTGTCCCCTCCTCTCTCTGCCGGCGTCCATCACCAAGATGGGCAGGGTTTTACATTGAAGAACTTGGTATCGGAGATGATGGTAAGTATTTAGGAACTATTGAAATAACTGAAATCCAATGAATGAAGGGACGGGGCATGGACAACGAGGCTGGGGAGGAAAGTGTGAGAAGATGCTGGACGTCCTCCAGCCAAGAAATGAGGTAAGTTCTAGCTGACTTCCTGCAGCTTCTAATGCACACAGTATTGTCACCAAGAGTTCAGTTTTTGACTTGGCAGTAGCATCTTGCTACGTCGGCGAGTGGGCGTGGTGACACCCGGTTAACGCTCCTGACCTGAGGTTGGGTGAGAAGGCCACAATTAGTGTTTCAATTCATCCCAAGGGTGTTCAGTAGGGTTGAGGTCAGGGCTCTGTGAAGGCCACTCAAGGTCCTCCACACCAAACTCATCAAACCCATGTGTCTTTATGGAGTTGGTTTGTACACAGGGGCACAGTAATGGTGGAACAGAAGGGTCTTCACCAAATTTTGACCACAAGGTTGAAGAACAATTGTGCTGCGTGGTGAAGTATTAACCGGACCCGTCACTGGAGACACCAGAACTCCATTTGGAGGGAAGTACTGTTATATTTGACCAAATGTGTTTACATCAGATTTAGTCCTGACCTTTACCCTTTACGGTCATATTGCACAATGTCACTAATTTACTTTCTGTGTTCATGTGATTATGAGCAACATAAGTGAGCATACAACACAAGCATGTACTGTATCATGGTGATGTATTGCTGACTTCCTCACGTGCCGTAGGATTCTGGAGAAGCTGGCACTTGGCTCACAGCTTGGGTTCACACTGTACAAGCGGTTACGTCATTGACATCTCTCTCCAAAATCTGGTCTGCCCTGATTATCATCACGTCCCTGGACCGGAGTGCCATGACTGAGGAGCTGGCCCGAAAACCAGGTCAGGGACGATTAGTCATACAGAAGAGCTGGGACTGTGCCAATGAGGACAAAGGGATTACCGGGATTATTTAATCAACAGCTAAAGAGCAACACACACATGAACCTTATAACACAAAGGCTGACAGGAACCGAACAGAAGGAAGTGCACAGACACGAGAACCTAACTTTCCCCTACAGGAACTTGTAGCAACACATAAACTGTATTGGCGAGGACAGGAATCTAAATCAGTACATGACATGATGAGGCCGGTGTGAAGCTTAGGCCTTGTTCACACCAAATGCAGAGCAGATCCGGTCAGGTTTCTGCACACGCACGCTAGTCTTTTAAATGTTTTTTTTTTTTTTAGTTTAACATGAGCTTTCAGTGCGTTCCAGGCATTTGCATGCGTTTTTGATGCGTTTGCAGATCCAGAGCAGATCCAGAGCAGGTAAAATAGGGCGTGCTGTGAACTGGAGCTCAAAATACCATTGGAATACATTGGATGCAGTTTTGATCCGGTCTGCAACTGCTCTGCTCTGCACCTGCTCCGCGCTTGGTTTGAACATGGCCTTAAAGTGTATCTCCACTTCTGTAGTCCAATTTGAGAAAACCCCTCTATATTTTTATTATGTGTTCCCATTCACACATCATAACGGAAAATAATTGGAAAAATATATATATAATATATTTATTTCGTACCTGTCATATGTTTCTTTGGTGGAGGCCTTTGTGCATATTCCAGGCCACTCTGAGCAGTTTGAAAGTGAAAATAGAGGGACAACTGAGGGGCAGACTGAGCTTCCTCTCATTAACATACACTGCTGCTAAGGCTTTAACCCTTTATGGAAGGAGTGGGCAAATGCCAGCCATCCAGCTGTTGTGGAACTACAAATCCCATGAGGCATTGCAAGATTCTCACAGCCACAGGCATGGAGTTTGCCTTCCCCTGCATTATTAGTACAGACAGTGTTCAAATCTAGTTCACAACTGATAATAAGATCTGCCAGCACAGTACAGACAGGGTTAATCACAGTAAACCTAACTTCCCACAGCCCCCTCCAACCCCCCTCCCAGTGGCGGAACTATCACCATAGCGGCCCAGACAGCCGCTATGGGGCCCGGGGCACAGGGGGGCCCTGCCAGGACGAGGAACAAAGGGGTCCTCCTGATGCTGTGCAGGCCGCCTTGGTCGCTATGGCATCGCAAGCTGCTGGCTGTCACTGGCAGCTGTGAGGAGGAACGCGCCGCTATTCAGATCACTGACAACCTGTCAGTGATCTGTGCAGCGGCGCGTTCCTCCTCACAGCTGCTGAGTCAGTGACAGCCAGCAGCTGAGGTGGACGAGGCCGGGGCCCGGCGGAGCCAGGGGAGGAGGTGGCGGGGCCCAGCGTCGGGGCCTTGTGACGAAGGAGGAGGCAGGGCCCGCCAGCGACCGTGGAGGACAAGGAGGCGGGGCCCAGCGGAGGACAAGGCTGACAGATAGAGAGAGAGGGAGAGAGAGAGAGGGGGAGAGAGAGAGGGACAGGGAGAGAGAGAGGGAGAGAGACAGGGAGAGAGAGAGAGAGGGGGGAGAGGAAGGGACAGGGAGAGAGAGAATAGATATACGCAATACATTGATGTAGGAAGCTGCTGCTGTCAAGTCAAAAGCTGAACTTCTGCTAATGTCATACAGAGGATCGTACAATTCAGTGTATATGTAACTTATTTAATTATTATTTTAAAATCATATTCCTCTGATTTCACTGCACACTGTGAGCTTCTCACAATGTTCATTAGAAGCTGCAGCAAGTCAGATAGAGCCCGCCTCATTTCCTGGCTGGAGGACATCCAGCATCATCTAGTGCTTTCCACCCCAACCTGACTGCCCCTGCCCCTTTCATTCATTGGATTTCAGTTCTTTCATTCATGGAAGCCCGGCAACACATGTAGACATACTGATGCAGCCTGTCTAGGAATGCCCACTCCTGCAGACTCATACTTCCCATCAAGGCATTATGATTTCTTCCTAACTCCTCCCAGGAGCCTGCCCACTGCTAGTATCAGGGCTGAAGGCTCGGCATCACATGTGAGTGTAACCTCGGACAGTAAGCCTAGGAATAACCACTTCTCCAGACTAACAGCCACCTATCAAGGCATTTTGATATTTGCCTAACTCCTCCCAGGAGCCCGCCCACTGCTTGTATCAGGCCTGGGAATAACCACTTCTCCAGACTGACATCCGCCCATCGGGGCATTTTTATATTTGCATAACTCCTCCCAAGAGGCAGCCCACTGCTTGCACCAGGACTGAGGATCTTGAGAGGAGTACTGTCATCAGTGGGCTCCGTGCTTCTCTATGCATGGCTGGTGGGAGGGGCCGGCAGGGTGCTGTACACAGCTTCCTAAAAACAGCACAGCACCCTGCCGGCCCCTCCCACCAGCCATGCATAGAGAAGCACGGAGCCCACTGATGACATCACTGGGGCTGAAATAGGATAACAAAAATTAAAAGGTTTAATTTACAAACTTCAATAAAAAATGAATGGGGGTGGGGGGAGGAGGATAAGGGAAGTCAAAATATAAGTAGCTTTAAATATTCAAGGAAACAGCAATACTCACTTGCCAGGATAGTGATAGTTTGCTGGAGCGGTGTCAGTTTTATCATCTTCATCCAGAAGAAAATGAAGCCGAAGACAAGGAGTAATATGACGATTCGTACTGAGAACTTCATTGTAAGTGTGCAGATGAGAAACTCCAATATCAGGCCGGCCGCCTCTTCCCTGATAAGAGGTGAAAGTTCTGTTTGTTCCCCCAGCTCACCTCTGTACTCACCGCCCCGGCCCAGCTCTCCTCTGTGATACAATGTAACAATCCCACACTGCACCTAACCGGATCTCATTCACCAGCATAACCCCCATGAGGATTATTGTCAGAGCTATTCTCTAAAGGGTGAGAGAAGGCAGGAGAAGGGAACAATCTATGACAACAAGTGAGCTGAATTTCCCCAGATCAGCTATGTTGTCCTAGATTGTTCCCTTCTCCAAACACTTCACTCTGTTAAATATTGTTTTTAGGACGTGTAAAACTAAAAATAAATCTGCATTTCCATATTGAATTGCCACAAGTTCTATCCCGCTCCTGATAACCAGATCCATCTAGAAGTTTGCAAACTCACTTATAGAAGATGCCCATAGGACGTACTTCCTCAATGCACTGACACAATTTCACTCGGCCCTGTGAATATGAACTTCCTGGTGTCACCACTCTCACAGAGCTGCCTTCTGAACTTCAGCTGAACGTCTGAACAATGTAACATTATCGCTGCTTGCTGGAAGCAATGCATGATGGGATATGTAATCTTGAGAAATGGAGATTGCATCACATCAAACAGCAGGGAAAGAGATGCAAAGTACACTGGGAATCCAGGAAGCTGTTGGAAGTGATGGGCGGAAGGCAGCACTAGGGCTGCAAGTAATGATTATTTTCATAATCGATTAGTTGGCTGATAATTTTTTCAATTAATCAGATTAAAATATATAAATAAATACCATCCTTAATTTAAAATGAAATACACAAATGTTACAAACATAAAGGTTACTTCAGAGTAAAACTGCATGCGCAATTTTTTGGAATCGCACTGCACTGGAACGCACAGCATTGTGGTACCACGCGTTCCAGTGCGGGCGATCACACTGTGGGTGGGAGGCGCGTCTGGGGTGCCGTTGAAATGTCAGGCTGAAACGGAAAATTACATTTTTTTCCCACCTTTTATAATTGTTTTTTGTAAATATTTACATCGCTGTGGCCATACAACCCTCCAATAAATGTTATTATATTACGTTCTTTGCCATTACTGGTGTTTGGTGTGTTATTTAGGTGGGAAGTCAGGGTTCCTTGGCCCTGCAGTCTGTCATGTGCTACCACCTCTGTCCACTAGATGGCACAATTGATCAAGGCTGATCTCCCTATTGGCATATTGCACATTGATCTCAAAGATTCTATAATGCATCAGCATTCCAGCGGCATGTGATAAGGGCTATACCTATTGACCGCTCACTTTATTTACACCTTATTGCAAATATTTTCATGTAAAACTCCCCAATAATTTTCAACCTTCAAGCCTTTTAATCTGCGATAATAATTTTTAAAGGACTGAATTTACAGTCAGTCCTCAGTCATCTACCACAATGACTGATCAGTATCTTATAGCGCTCTACATATCTTCTCATCTCGGTGTACAAATCTTCCCGTACATAACGTTAGTCAACAGAAAATGCTTCCTAGAAGTCAACACGCTCAAGAACGGCACAGGCACCAGGATTTATATAACTGTGCCATCTCTGAGCTGACATCTCAGTCCAGAGAGTAGACCCTGGGTGATGCCTGAACAGAGGTGGCGCTGTCAGGGTTTGGACTTTACAGCACAAGTAAATCCTGAGATGCACACAGCCTTTATTATATATGGACTGACACAGAAAGAGGTATGGTGCACCACACAACAGTCATCAACCATGACTGATTGGTATCTTATAGCATTCTCGACATATCTTTTAATCTTGGTGTAGAAATGTTCCTGTACATAACATGAGTTTACAGCAAATGCTTCACAAAAGTAATCTTAATACCACGACCTGTTAGACACGACTGAAGGTCAAGGCTGCAAAAACATGTCACAATATACAGCAACAATTTCATTTACAGAAAGGCTCCAAGCTTTCTGTGCCTTTGCCTGTGACTTGGCCTAGTCATCAGTCTGCTGCAGGCAGGAGGAGGCATTTCCTCAGTCTCCTCTCTCCCCAGTGATCAGACTGCAACATTGTAACTTTGTAACAAATGTGAGAGGCTGCAGCAGGAGCTGATCTGTGTCAGACATTTGTTAACAGAGCCAAGAACTGCACAGGCAGTAGCGTATCCAGGGCATGGCACATATGGCACATGCACTGGGTGCCACCACCTGATACAGCAGACCTTCACTGTCATTATTCAACCCTCACCGACCGCCACTTCCGGTTAGTTGCTAGGATGCCAGGTCATCCTAGCAACTAATCGGCAGATGTTGAATAATGACAGTGGACTGCTGCTCTCATTACTCAACTTCCAGGTTGCTGGTGGTTGGTTGTTAGGATGAAGGGCGGTCCTAGCAACTAACCAACTAACCAGCAGGGGCAGGGGTTGAATGATGACACCGGCAGTCTGCTGTCATTATTCAACCTCCGCCGCTGCTGGTTAGTTGCTAGGACCGCCCTTCATCCTAACAACCAACCAATGACGTGCTGTCAATGACCCGTCCTTCCCAACATTCCAATTGAGGTGCCTCCTGCTGCGTGTCCACCTCAGTCAGCCACCGACCCCTGAGCCCAAGTGAGCCAGTGCACACATAAGGGACACATAGGGGGGAACTCTATACTATAAAATAAGAGGGAACTCTGGGATGTCTAATGTAAGGGGGCACTGGGTACTGAGTCGCCATCATCCCCCTTACATCAGAGTCCCTATTGTCCCCCCTTGCATTAGAGTCCCCAGAGTCCCCCTTACATCAGTGTCCCCATTGTCCCCACTTGCATTAGAGTCTCCATCATCCCCCTTACATTAGAGGCCCCATTGTGCCCACTTACATTAGAGTCCCCAGAGTTCCCCTTACATCAATGCCCCCATTGTCCCCCCCCTTGCATCAGAGTCCCCAGGGTTCCCCTTTACATCAGTGTCTCCCCTTACATCCATGTCCTTAGGAATCTAATGGCAAAGGGGGTCCCTGGGGACGCAAATAAAAGGGAGGAGTCTGGGGATTCTGATGCAAGGAGAACTTTAATGTAAGGGGGGACTCTGGGCGCTCATAGACTTCTATGGGCTCATCTACCTGCGTCTCCTGGCTGGCACTTATGCAATGAAGACAATCTTGGGAGCAGACCTGACACTCATGGCTTGTAGATGGAGTAGGATGGGGCTTGGATTTGTATTGTTTTGCCTTTATCCAGTTTTCTTCTTTTAGATGTTTATGTAAAAAACTTGACATATTCCCTTTAGGATTTATTCATTGTGGAATTGTTGTCTCACATGCAGCCACTTCCACAACAACAGATAGAAATCTACCAAAAAAATGCGTTCTTCAGGCCGCCATGTAGGAGTATGGAGGGTGTAGTCGGGAAGCATTGAATTGACTCCCATGTCCTCCAGCTTGTGTTATTTTTAATTTGTCATAGCCGTTGGGACTGGATGTCTCGGGCTGTTTTAATTTTATGTTGATGATCTTAATTCAAAGCTTTGCTTAAAAATAATACTCTGATAGGTAACATTAGCTCTAAATCTTACTAAGTATAAAGATTATTAACATCAATTGATCAGACACCATTGTAAAGCATCAATGTACAATATACATTCCAATACCAAGTAGGGTTGCCACCTTTTCTTCAAGCCAACCCGAACACTCTAGCGCCGCACGGCAATTTATTTTTAGAACATACAGGAGAGAGCGAGGAGAGACAGCCAGGTGAGAGAGTGAGGAGAGAGCCAGGGGAGAGAGTGAGGAGAGAGCCAGGGGACAGAGTGAGGAGAGACAACCAGGGGAGAGAGAGTGAGGAGATTACCAGGGGAGAGAGAGAGGAGAGACAGCCAGGAGAGAGAGTGAGGAGATTGCCAGGGGAGAGAGAGAGGAGAGACAGCCAGGAGAGAGAGAGTGGGGAGATTGCCAGGGGAGAGAGATAGGAGAGACAGCCAGGAGAGACAGCGAGGAGAGAAAGAAAGGAAAGATGGCCAGGAGAGAGCGAGGAGCAAGCCAGGAGAGAAAGCATGGAGAGACAGCCAGGAGAGAGAGGGAGCAAGGAGTGAGCCAGGGGAGAGAACACGGAAAGACAGCCAGGAGAGATGCAAGGAGAGAAAGCCAGGAGAGACAGCCAGGGGAGAAAGAGAGGGGAGAGACAGCCAGGAGAGAGAGAGCGAGGAGAGACAGCCAGGAGAGAGAGAGGAGAGACAGCCAGGAGAGAGAGGAGAGACAGCCAGAGGAGAGAATGGAGAGACAGCCAGAAAAGAGAGAGAGAGAGAGGAGAGACAGCCAGGGGAGAGAGAGTAGAGACAGCTAGGAGAGAGAGGGGAGACACCCAGGAGAGACAGTCAGGAGAGAGAGAGAGGAGAGACATCCAGGGGAGAGAGAGGAGAGACAGCCAGGGGAGAGAGAGGAGAGACAGCCAGGGGAGAGAGAGGAGAGACAGCCAGGGGAGAGAGAGTAGAGACAGCCAGGGGAGAGAGAGAGGGGGAGACACCCAGGAGAGAGAGAGAGAGGAGAAACAGCCAGGAGAGAGAGGAGAGACAGCCAGGAGAGAGAGAGGAGAAACAGCCAGGAGAGAGAGGAGAGACAGCCAGGAGAGAGAGGACAGAGCCAGGAGAGAGTGAGGAGACACAGCGAGCAACACATCTGCCTGAAGCAGAACTCCTGTGCCCTTCAGGACTTATCTGCACCCTGTGTTTTAGACACCTCCTTGCTCCCCAAGTTCCAGCATCCCTCCGTGTCCCGTGCCGCCTCCATGCACTCAAGTTGGAACACCAGGACCCCATGGTTGCCCCTGTCCGCCTGACATTGTGACATCTTGACATATTGAATTAGTAAAATGGGTGTGGCCTGATAAAGGTTTACTGTTAACATTGGGGGAGGGAAAAAACTGTTTGCCTTTAGGCCCCGTTCACATATAGCGAATTGTCGCGCGATTTCCGCCGCGATATTGCGCATTTTTGCCGCGCGATATCGCGAGAAGTCGCCGGCCAATGTTATTCAATGGAGCTGTCTTAA